CCCCCCCTGGGGAGGCCCGCCTCCCACTTTGGAAACCTCTCATATAGTGTAATCACAGTGTGATTCGGTCCCATATACTGACTTGTAAACAGATCCAGTTTTAAATGTAAAAATGAAGGTTTTACGTTGTGGTAATAACATTGAAGAAAACTCTCAGCAGACCAGTGTTACAATCATACAAATATATTAGTTTGTTTTATTCAATTATATCCAATAATACGTCTCCCTTGACTTTGTGTAAGTTATTATAGAAATAAATACAGATCATATTGCAAATGCAGAGACAAGAGTTTGGGATAATAGAGTGTTGAGGGAGGGGGGGAGGGGATTGAGGGTTTAAAGGGGTTAAAGAGTAAATACTGGGTAAAGACTGTTTCTTTGAAGGTGTCCAGTAAATGATTGGCGCATGCATGCTTGTAGTCCTGCCCGTCTGTGATCCTCTACCTCAACCCAGGAGTTTTAAAACCGCAAGTCCCCACGGCTCTCTGTAGTCCTTTACAGCTCTTTTCTCCAAGTGACACATGGGTTTGGATGGCGTATAGTAGTTGTGTTATTCCACCTTGCCAGCAACAGGGGGAGTTATTGCACCCCAACCACATTTGCATGGATATATTTATATATATTTATATATAGATATATTTTTTGCCCCATTTGTATACAAAAATAGTGTCATTGTGGCTTTGATAGCTGGAAGACTGAAGCACTCTTTTTGCATTTGGAAGACAGGAAGGAAAGAAAGATTATGGTGATTTCCTTAAAATCTTTTCTTCTGGAAGACTTTGTCACAATAACTCGGATCGTCCATGCAGTACAAAGATGAGCAAAGAAAAGAAAAAAACAGTCAAAAAATCCTTCAAGGATCGATCACAGGATCACACACACAGGTAGAAGATGTGTTTGTGTGTGTGTGTGTGTGTGTGTGTGAGACAGACGGTGAATGAGCAGTCCACATGCTGCCTGTGAGCCAATTAAAATCCCTGTTAAGAGATCAAAGGTCAGAGGTCGGTCTTTGATTGACAGGCGAGTGCTGGAGGATTGTGGGGGATCAGGAGGAAGAGGGTGGAGACCGCGCAGTCTAGGCGTACTTAATGTCTTCCTCTCTTTGTAGATTGCTCAATATCCCACAATATGTGACAGGAGAACGGACACGGATATGCATTTAAACAGCAAAATAAACACATCAAATCAACAAACACACATGGACGGACTAACAATGATTCATATAGGGCGCCACAATGGATACCAACACCAATTCCTCATATCGTTTCATTACAAGTCACAGAACTTCCACTGAGAAATACCCAAAATACAATCCATACTGTTTTTTTAAAACAAAAAACACTCAAAAAGGGGTAAATAAAGACATTTTAGCATAGTGTATACAATGTAAAGTCACCACTAAAACATTGCTGGTGCAATGGCTTGTGAGAGGTGAAGTCCCTCCATGATCTGTTTGTAAAGGTCACCCCATTTAGCCACATCTGCGCTGGCTTGGTGCAGGGTGCTGTGTGTGTGTGTGCAATGCAGATGTGTTCAGGGACTGTGGGTGTGCTTTAAAAAAAAACACAGCCTGGTTTTTTTATATATCAAGTAAATGTGCTGGTTAATACTGTACAGGATGTGACATTCGTTGCTCGGGTTCTGGATTCCAATATAAAAGCACTTTTTATGAGGCGGCTAAAAAGGAAAAAAAAAAAAGAGAGAGAGAGAGGGAGAAAATCTGTCAACGAGGACGGCGTCACTCTTTTTGTCACGTGAGCCTCATCTTCCTCTTCCTCCCTCTGCTTTTTTTGTGTTTCTGCTGCATTGGCAGATGTGGTCAGAGGGACTCCACCTCAAAGTAGTGCACAACACACACACACCCCCACCACACACAGCACACAACACACACAACCTTAAAAACAGCAACCCAGCGCAAAAAAGGGCAAAAAGTGTTAGAAAATAAATAGCTTCTAAATAAAACACGCAGTTGGTTTTCCTATATCAAATATATAATCCTTTTTTTCAACACACTCCCAAGCATAATGTGGCTGCACCCTTGTTAATGGAGTTTTATTGCCTTCTGCCCCAAAGGACTCGTGCTCATTGATTTGGCCTCATGATTTTCCTCTAAATTTTAGTCTCTTCTCCCCTCTCTCCCTCCTCTAAATACTTTTACTACCCTCCTGTTCTGCGATACACCATAATGGAACCAGAGATATTACATCACAGTTACACAACGATTACACACAAAGACCAAAGCTGATGAGGTGAAGACCCTAAGAAAACACATCGCCAGATGCACAACACCACTGTGTGCCGCACACTACACCAGCGCATCGCAACATCATAACTGCCCCAGATTAAAGGGAAGTTGTGTTTGCAAAAAGAAGCGAATCCCCGGAAGGGAGGAAGGGGAAC